CTTATATTTAAAAAAACATTAGCTGGCTATATTTTCCACGATCCGAAGCACCATTATACGTTTATATTTTATGTTTTTATCAAAATCTGTACTAATAAGCCCACCATATTTGGGACTGATGTGTCCTTACTCCTCGCGGCACGAACCTCCTAATTGGGCCTTACCTCTTAAGCCCCATCCGAAAGATAAATGCTGAGCTATAAATATTGAATTTTTATGGCTTTCACAGTTGTGGTACGTTGTTTTTAACTTTCAGGCTTTGATTTTGCAGCTTCATTTGCACAGCCCGTTGAATCAACACTTTATTGGCCATACACAATACAATGTAACTGGTATTTCAGGGTCGCCGAGAGAGGCACAGATTCATAGAAAATGTACCTTTTTCCAGAACGACTTCATGTATACATGTATATAAATGATAATTAAAAAAAATATGTGAAAAATGTACTCAAAACATTACAAATGTCTCCAGTAGTGATCGGTAGAAAAAAGCTTTCATAGAGCTTTAGCGATGTTATCTTATGTAATAGGTGAATTACAAATTACATGTCAACCTAGTTTAAAATCATAATTGACGTTATCGAATTGTTTTGGTAGCATCGACTCAAAGGGCACATCGTAGAATGCTGTAGGCTAGCATGCCTTCAGTAGCAACGATGATTGTCTACATTATTTACCGAAATCCTGTACTTATTTATACAAAAATATATGTCTTTATGCACGAAATCGTTCAGCTTGGTTTGCCAATAAATGATCTAAAGGCTCATTTCATACGTGAGGGACATTTCCTTTAAACGATTTAAAACAATTTCTGCCCAAACTTCAGTTCATTTTGTTTTGTGAAACTACTTTTCTTAATACCTTTTGAAATTATTTTGAAGCATAATTAAATCAGTGTATCTATAAAGTGCTATACATCCTAAAGCAGGACAATAGAACGCGTATATTGTGTTTCCCATGAATATTTTAATTAAAATTATGAATGAATTAAGTAATAACATTTTTAAATGAAGACATCGTTGTCTCTATACCAAATTTACGGATTCGTGAGTGAAAATTGTCTGGATATTCCAATATATAAATTATGAAGTTGCTGTCGTTCGTTATCATTTTCGCTATCTGTGCGTATTTCTAATACGAATTACTTCGTATGTAAAATAATAATTTCTTTTGTGCAATAGTCCACCGTATCATGCTTTTTTAGATTTTTTAGGAATTTGTCTGCTGTACCTCTAAGCTTGCTAACACCTCAGCTTTAATAATTTAATAAACTATATGAGGTTTAATTCTTCGCGGCCTAAAGCTTAGCGAAAAATTGATTCTAAGTGTTTAAGGTATTTTATTTCTAAACGTATTAACTTGGGTATCTAGAGGCGTGTCGACTTTCACCTCTGGTATTGCTGTTGAACATTTGGAGTCAGACGGCTCGCTTCCAGCATGAAGCGCAGTGCGTCCGTATTCGATTTGAGCTTTTATCATCTTAGATATACCACATCTAAGAGACAAACACTACGAGAATACACATGCTCTGTTTTGCTACGTTTACACAAACAATCTGACTATTAAATTAAAAGAGATATCTTGTAGGACAAACTGGACATTAGAAAAAAATATAAGTGAAATTTGATGTTTTATGTTTAAATGTTTATTTGTTGAAGCCATTACACCCTTGGGTACAATGACAACCGTATTACGCAGTAAAGATTACTAACTTTACATAAATATTGACAAGCAGAATTGTTTTCTAGCAAGTTTTAATACACACAATGCGCTCAACTTGAGATAAGTACTCACTTCAGTAAGAAGAAAGTTTCTTATTCGATCGGACGCCACAATGATGCATGATCACAGCAGCTCACGCGTTCCCGAGGAGAACATTGCGATTACCGAATCCATTTACTGACATATGACATACGCACTAAATTCATCTGACCGCTTCTCGCTTAGGTACCCTGTTCTCACATAGGCAAAAAATAAACTATTTTTCCATTCTACGAAGTTTCTTGATTAGCCTATCAAAATTCTGGTCGTCAGTGCAATACGTTTTGGTTGCCCATACGAACGACTGTCGCAGAATGAAGATTAACCCGTCAATCGATTATCCCCATAGTGAGCCTCTTTCCAGTTGAATAAGCGATGCGTTTATTCAAATTCGACACAACTGCGTTTTCGTCTGCATCTGGGCTAGTTGCGCGCCGCACGTTCAGCTGAAAAGGATTGGCATTTTTTATGGTGAATTTTCGTGCAAGTTCTCTGAGCTGCTGTCAACACTACAAAAGTGGTAAGTGTATTTCTACGATTTGCAAATATTCCTTTGCATTTTTACCACCGTCCGTTTCGGTTACCTGTTCAAAGGTACTTGTAAAATTCAAACTAGAAGTAGCTTTTTAGCAGGAGTAGTGTTCCATCCATGCGGAGGCGATGGTAGAGCCTACACCGAAGATCTTGTTTACATACGAAAGCATGTAGGGGCCAAGCAGTAGTCAGTTAGTGTTTTGTGAGCTGATTTCGAACACAAGTTGCTTGCAGTCGTAGTGTTTGTCATACATACTGTACACGTATGCTAATTCATGTGTATTAGCTGCGCAAAGTTTTCGATGCCTTTTATTTGGCTTCGAACCGATCTTGCGATGAAAAAAATCTAGTAATCGAACTGTGCCCCAGATTTGACCCAGCCAATACGGTTCGTTTCCCACTTATGACGGTCTTAGCAGGAAGTGATCGGTGTCAAACAACACCTGTTGGCTAATTTAGTCTGAAAAAAAAAAGAAAAGAAACGAAAATAACACTTCATCGGCATGTCAAAACGTCATCGGAGAAAGCTTCCTTCAGTCGATGTCTCAGTTCTCGAGCAACCACTAAATCTCGGAGAAAGCGATGCCGTTGTCCTTGCCAAGGCCTTGCGTGATGGTACATCCGAAATTCAGCATGTTCTAGTCAACGAATGCAACGTCATACTGGAGTGCCGAGTGTGTCGGGCTTTGTTTCGCTCGCTGGCAAATCTGCTTTCGCACAAGAGACATTATTGCCGAGCTAGCCATTCGGATAGACCAGCGGTAGCTGTTGGTGGACGGAATCCTGAAATTACACAAATCGTACCTGTTTCTAGCTCTGTAGCAGCACCAACTCATGTTGTCAGACATCGCGATACCTTGGAACACGCGTCTTCAGATAGGTTAGCGAGTTCTCATCAAGAGAATTCTCGAGACCAGAGCCGAAAACACACACCAGCGGTTAAACGTCGCACAGATACGGCTGTATTGACGGTGACACGAAATTCTCGAGAAGAGCCTAAATCAGAGGAACGGGTGCTATCGACTAAGCCAGCAGAAGGTTCAACAAAGTTTGGAACAGCCACGCCCCTTGACTCAACTTCTGCCACAGTCAGTCAACTCGATGCCGAAGACTCTCCGAAACCTCTAGGTCAGGTACAACGTCTCTCAGTCAGTTCTGCTTCATCAAAACTGGGCAGCGATTTTGTTGTCGATGGAGCAGAAACCCTTTCATCGAAATCAATTGAAAACGACCATTGTACGGATATCTGTATGCGTACCTGGCAGTGTTTTACGTGTCATCTCGCTTTTGATAATAGCTACCGAATGCGACGGCATCTCGTCTACGATCATGGAACTGAAGTACGGTACCATTTGTGCCCGCGATGCGGATTTGAGCGCGAGTACTTTTTTGAGGTTATGCGACACCTCCATACAGAGCACGGCCTCGGAGCGAAGCAGCTGGCTGATCTAAGGGAGGACGTCCAAGACCGGGTGCGCTACAGACCGAGACAGAACTCATTGTTGGGGTTATCTAATGAACATTAAGTGACACGAAACTTTGAGAGAAAGCTTGATATTCTGAACTGGTCCAAGAAACACCAGAACTTTCGGTAATAAGTTAAAGCAAAATTTTTACATAACTTATTTTTAAAATGAGATGCCATTTGAAGAATATTGTTATATATTGACAAATCTGTCGCAGATCCCCAGTCGTTTATCCTATGAGAAGACTTTCATACTTAAACATTGGGCTAACGATATATCACAGAAATATCATTCCGTTGGAGCTAATCAGCATTCTTAGTTCCATTTATGCCCTACGTACTGCTGATGCAGGACAATTATGACATTTCTCAATGAACGTTGACTTCTTATGGGACTTCATACTACGGGTTTTGCATTTTTGCAGGATCGACAAATCTTTGTCATACGCACACGAGTAAAATGTGCTCATGAACAAATAGTTTATAATCTCATAGTTTTGTATAATATTAATTGTAGAATCAATTCGATCGGAAAAATCGTACTATTCCGTTGGGTTGTAATTACAATTTCGTACTTAGCAAGCGATGATCGAAATATTATATTGTACGTCGCCGTCTACATCGCTTGAACCGTTTAATTCTATATCGTTCGTTTGAAACTTTCACGCCAAAATTTCCTGTGATACCTATAATATTGTATATCGCTTATTCACACTATCAATCCATGTACTGTATTTCTGCGATGTGTAGTCTTAAAAAAGCTGCAATTGTGAATCATTAGCAGATGTACTCTGTGGTGGTCGAGATTTTACGCTTCAGGTACTACCATAGTTGAAAGAGCAGGCGTGAATGACGTGTTTTAAAATGAAATTAATAATAGGGGTCATATTAAAAATGTTACGATAAAAATCTAACGCTGTTTTTGACAAAACTAGGGGGTGTTAGCTCAAAGTAATTTGAGCCAGACTACATGTGTCTAGACCGCTGTCAATTTCTCGATGATTATTTCGATGATTTAAAATGTTCATGTTTACAAATGTAAAATTATTTCGAATGTCGACGTGAGGTCTTGGACGCCAAGTCTCTGGTTCAAAGTATTAGGGGTCGCTGCTTCAAGTTCCGCCAACGACAGATGCAGCTACACAGCCTATATGAATAGAAGGGTTTTTCATTTTTTTTTTTCAAATCATGGAGAGAAAGACTACAGTTTTGAAGGGGCAAGGTGTAAAAAATAGGTAAGCCTTTTGGCACCGCCAAGGCTTTGTGTAAATGCCCGTCTGAGCGGGTCTTTTGAATCGATATGTTTTCGTATTAGATAACCTGAACTGGTTGCCTGACACTCTCGGAAGTGTTATTTCACTGTGCTTTACTAATGCACGATTCGAGTTAGCCAAGTGCATTTGCTCATCATTGTAACGTGCTTAGTACGTCTTAATTGTGTGTCGAATTGTAGAAAAGCGAAATAAACATGATGCTACATTATGCCGTTTTTGGATGAAAACTGTTTCTTTTGAACTGTCAGGTTGGTCCTTTTATACGATACAATTAGGCTGTCTAGAAGAAAACTAGGAACCGTTCATTGCAATCGTTTATCGAGCTATGATCTGCGGCTAATTTTTTTCCATCTAAATCAATTACAGTAAATAGTACTGGCCTTCAAACGCAGTTTTGCGTTGCCAATATATTGAATTCGAGCTAGATAAGGAAAATTTCCTTTAGCTTTTTCAATTACTAGGCAAATATACTACAGACGTTAAACTGGTGTGTTCCTTGACACTTTCTATTTAATCTTTGGCAATTTGGGATGAACAGGCTACACCGTAATTTACTTTAGATACATTACTTTTACGGAAAAACGTAGAGGTAATAATTTGGAGCATTGCCTACTAATTGATCTACGGTTGTTGCATATTAAAATAGCTTTTATGACCGCAGAAAAACTAGAGAACATCTACAGACCGTCTAGTCGATATCTTTTTTTTACCAACTTTTAACCTTTACGAAAGAACTATATTATTTAAAGATAAATTGATTGTATGTATGAGTTAACAGTAAAATTACTCGAATTTATGCACGTTCCAAGTTGAAGGATGGCACTGTAATCGATTTTATATTCAGCAAATTAAAGGAGTCTTTATTGTAAACGGTATCTTACTTTTTATGAATGCATAGTTCCAGCTAGCTAAAGGACTTCTATACGTACTTAAATTTAAAAAATGCAGATATTTTAGTTTTTTACAGGGTTTTTTTTTCAAGAAATTTGATGCCAGCGAAAAATGCAGGTTATTACCGAGTTTGATATGCATGTTACATACGTAAATCAACAACTTAGTGATTGGCTATAAAGTACAGGTGCCCGTGACGTACTCGGTTTGAAGAAATGAGAAACTTGACGAAAAATGGTTTACTCATTTGTTAAATGTCCCATTCAAGGCATATAAACTATATTAACATATATACTGATGTCATCATATTTCTCAAATCTGACTTGTAGATGAGCAATCGAAAAAAACGCTCCGCATCGAGCGATGAAGATCCAGTTGATATGGGTGAAGCCGGCGGGAGCGCAAGGGGCTTGAAGCAAGGCCGCAGAGCTTATCAAACTGCATCGGAAGAAGTTGGCCCCAGTCATGTGGAGGCACTTCAGTCAACCACCAGTGAGAACGACAGCAATGCCGATATTTTTCGCAGGATCGACCTACCACCGACAATAGACTTAGAACACTTCGTCTCCGCCAGAAAGGTTCAATGCGAATTACAATATTGCTAATAGGCTTCTACATTGTGACTCACGCCCGTCGATTCTATAATAGATCGGGTACATTAAGTAGCTTTTATTCTTTCAACTAAAAAATATAAAAAATATTATATGGGCAAATAGTATGTTTATTAAATAGGTCAATATCTTCATGTCTGCGTACCTTTTCTATCTAGGATCCTATTATAAATGTGTATTTATGTGTTTTGTTCAAATACACTGTACATCATGTTTGGTCGCAGGATGAGTTGGCCAATCTGACGAACACGGTCAGAACTCGAATGCGCAAGCTGGTTAGTCAGCAGCTACCGAGACATCTTAGGCGCCGAACTGTGAGCCACAATAAGAAACGTCTACCAAAACGAATGCAGGTACTTTAGCACTGCTACGAAAAAGACAGTCCTAATTTATTGCAAGCCACAAAATGTGAAAGATGACGTAATCGTCAAGTCTGAATAGGGAGTTAGCTTATCATAGCATTATAAATACAAATATTGACAATAATAAAAAGGCTTTAGGTTACTACGTAAGTGCCTCGCGTTACTTTTCGTGAACAGCCAGTTATACGCATGGGTTACTTTAATGGATTCAACGTTATACACAAAGCACAACATAAAAATTATCTATATCATTCTATGGCACTAAGTACGAATTACTTCCCTCTATGTGAGATAATAAATTTAACTTCTTGAGGAGTTAGTTTGCTCTGGTGTGATGTTGGTTACATATTTCACTTAATAGGAAAATGTATAGAGATACTATTAGACAATTTGTTTAAAACAGGCATGAATTGCGATTAATTTAGTCTAAAGAAAATCCACCGACATAACATCATCAAATAAGTTAAGTCTTTTTTGTGTGCTTTGACCAGCTAAACGTTTCGGTTATAACTCGTAATGACATCATGCCCATATATATCACAGTTTAGTATGATATCGAAAATGTTTGACCAAAGGAAATATATGTCATCTCCACGTTCTAATCTAGTTTGAAATAAACATCAGCTTTGTTCAAAGAAGTGTTTAAAGCCTGGCTAAAAACTATTTGCCAGCCGTTTTACTGCATATTTTTAAATAAGCCAAATAACAATAGCGTTTGAAAACGTGACATCATATTACGTTGAATATCTATTAATTTTTTTCCTCTACAAGGACCGCTACAATGCCGAAGCCGCCAAAGAGACAAAGCGCCCATCACGGCTACATCGGCGAAGACCGCGGAATTTACAGGACGAGTATACGCGTCGAGCCAGAAGTCACCGATGGCTTGAAACACATATATGGCATGCCAAGAGGTTTCGAATGGTAGAAAAATTTGGCTATAAGATTCCCGAAAGCAGTTTCGATAAGAGCCTGAGAGCGTGTTACAGGTAAATTTACAAGAAGTCTTGTTACTCGTTTGTCTCAAAGTTTTAATTCAACTTCTAATAGTCTAGTTTTACTATACGTGATGTGCCTTAAAGTATACACCAAATCCCTACAAAGTGCTTTTTATTGCCGCAGAAAAAATATTTGGTTTAGATCGACCTTTATAAAAAGAGGATATATTAATTACACATAATCATGATGGCAATTTTAGACCAAATGATGAATATTTTTTGTAAAATGTGTGGTGTTTGCTCAAAATTGTAGCTGCTGACCGGCTAACTAAACTCCTGCTTTCTTTTGTATGGAAAAAACTATAAAAACAACAGACTAAAGTAATCAGATGGTTTCTTTTTTCCTTTACGATCTTCTAGAGGCGCTGCAAAGTATTGCTTACTCAACGATATTTCTTATGAATGCTGCATTGAACTTCGTGGCGAGCAAGCAGCAATATGCGGAGCTTTCGAACGCATCAGCTCGCAGAAAACTGGCCTTTCAATCGCAGCCAAAAAGTTCATTGATGGTCGATTCCAAGGGTCCATATGGCTCTATCAAATTGGTGCGTAGTGCACGCTGAACAATAAGTTTGAAAATGGAAACAGGTTCCATTCGATATTGACGTCTACAGTATGACAGTTTATGGGAAACAGTTATGAAGATAGCTTTATTAATTATAGATAAAATTTTGAGGAACAGACCTCTCCGATCAACACATTTTTAGGTCTTAATTCACCTCTGAGAAACAGTTTCTTTTTCGAATGCCTGTTAGTCAGTGTTATAATAAAAGACATCTTTGTTTTCTTTCGCCGTTACATTAGATTCATATCCGCACAAGTGTTTGGGGGAGGCTACGTTCATATGGCGTCCATTAGACGCAGGGAATTCGGAGCGCATTCTATGGTTATGGTGTCATCCTGAGTTTCGTGAAACCCTGATCGACATCTTCAAGCAACTGCTCGATCTTGTCGCTGACTTCAGTGGAGAAGGCGCCACGGAACCTTCCGTATTCAAAGGTAAAATTATACGTTTTGTACGCGGAGAAACTTTGTGTATTGTTTCGTTGTCTCAACACATTCTATATATGATTTATGAAGACTGTCTAATTAACAGATTTTTTCGTCACATCCAACATTGTAATCTTTGGTGTGAGCAAATCCTAAGCTATGGTAATAATCCGTCGAAATACTTTGTCTCTAACGCCATCGTGATGTTTCCCAGGACCAACTGTAACTTTAATTAATCTCCAGGACAAGCTGAACCGGTTTCGGCTTACTGGTCCCTTGTCAGCGCGCGTTCTCTGTGAGGCCCTCACTCAGGACGAGAGTGGCCTTAAGCTAGCGCCACCACTGTCTCTGCAGCCAGATGAGTTTAACACTTTCTGGAGCGGTGTCGCAAAAAATGCTTTATCGGCTTTTAGTCATATACGAGTAAGTTTTCTGAATTGTATTGCGTAAACTGCGTGACTATTTAAGTTATCGAATTCTCGGCGTAAGTATCCTATCGTGGAATAATATTGACATTGAGGTTACAGTAAAAAGTGCAAAGCAGTTTTTCTGGTTGAGAGAATGGTATATACACCGACAGAATTTTGACTTTGTTGCTGCTGTTTATGGCTTAAATAAATAAATCTGTGTGTAAATTTTAGTAAGCAAGAGTAGTCTCCAGACTGTTTAGGGAATCGAAGCGCAGCTTATTAGGATTACATTTGCGAAACTATTAATTTTAAACACATGTAAATCTAAAGTTTGAATATCAAGTTAGACATGCGTGCTTTGTGCGAAAAGGAATCTGCAGTTTGATGTAATGTTGAGAAAGCTACGTGAAATCTCAAGAATTCCTTTATTTTTTAGCTACAATATATTAACTTTGTCCTCTATATGATTGTAACAATCGGCTGTCATACATTTTGATTGCCAGGACGGACAGATAGCCGGAAACGTTGTGTTAGATCCAAGATTACATATGCCTCGCAAACGATTGGTCTCGACAGTGGTCGGCTTGCAGGCCGACGATGAAGGTTCTTTTGATTCTAAAGGAAGCCAAAATGCTATAAGCGAAGTTCCTTTTCGGAGCGATATTTGGGATCAGTCAGCTAGGAGCTTTGTTAAGAGATCAATGATGACGCAGGACGAGATTAACAAGCTGCAACATGATAGCATCGTGCCAGGTTAGCCTCCATTTGTAAACCTGTATATATATATTCTTGTATATGCTAGAAGTGTCATTCCTGACAGTTATGTTCCTTCCATATAACCACCTTCCTCCACGATTCGATTTTTAATTCAAGACCTGAACCACCCCTTAGTCTTATTTAGAATATTCCTTTTTCATTCCGTAAATGACTTGTTTTATAGCCACCGTGCGTCAAGCGTTATTGGTGTGTGTAACAACTTTTAAAATATTGGTTAAGTGCACTGCATACAAAAAATTCGAACGTAATTCAATTTTGTACTGATAAAAGATTGAAAATCTTAAAAATGCAAAGACGCAAAATGAAAGAGAACTGCAGAAAGTTAAAGTAAGGCTAACTGTTAGAGCCTATCTGGATGACCCAGTGAGAAGTCCAGGGCTATCAAAAATGTTTTAAGCCATCTTTATGAATTTTCAAACACTTTACATTTAAATTCCATTGAATTTCCGGTTTGCTTCATAAACAACTTCCTCGGATTATTCAGAAGTGGTATGGAAACTAGCAATAACAGAGAGCATCAATTTTAAGCAAAAAGGAAGTATACTATCTCGTTGACGTGTAGTTTAGCGCGAAGAGTTTGGATAGTAGTTGACCTTCATTGGGAGTACGTGGGTCAGAATTTGGTTAGCACTATTATTGAAAACAACTGATGCTATGGACAAGAAAATTACACTAGTGTATTAGTCGAGTAGTATATTAAATTCTTCTATTACGTGGCTTAAATGGGCTCACTATACTTCACTTATTTCCAGAAAATATCAGTTGAAAACACTTATGTCGTTAGCTCATTTAGCCCCAGAAAATGATGCTATATGGGCTAAAAATTGGGCTATATGTTCCACTAATAACTGTATGCGAAGAAGTGAGCCATCAACAAAGTTAGAGGGAAAATTATTTCTTACCTTAGAAAGGACTGTGTTTATCTCTAGAAAAGGCGATGCGTAACAATCAATTTCTGTCAAATAAGACAGATCAAAGGTTGTGATTCTAATAGAAATAATTATCTATAATAAATTTTTTATGTTAAAAGCTAATAAAGTCATAGTGTAACATATGATAACAACGACACGCGAAAATACGATACCTCAATTAAACTTTATATATATACATATACAAGCATTTATACTAAACTGAGTTGTTTCCTGAAATTACTTAATTCTTTTCATTTCTTTGTTTAATTAGCATCGATGGCATTCAGTTTCATATGTGCTCGGAATGTAGTTGCCGGTATAATCCGACTGCATTCTGACCCATATAGTTTCCAGGGTGGTGATGTCATAAAGCTCAATGTGATGAATTTTATGTTTCGGTTTGGCATTGAAAATGTAGCTTCGGGGCAGGCGGAGCTATTAAAGAAAGACGGGCTGGTTCTCTTGCTCCCTCATAAGTCAAAAAAGGTTCGGTAAAATGGGAAATAGATACTGTTTCATGAAATTCAACCTTTTAAAAAATGGATACTGAAAAAAATCAGTGCTGCAAATGGCACTAGCTTTCTGACCGTGTGTATGCCAAATTTTTTTTTTAAATCTAAGGCTTTACAGTATTTAAATTTGAAGTTCAGGTTCCTTATATATATATATATATATATATATATTAAGAAGCATTAAATGCCTTAGCTAGGGTCAATTGTTTATTCTTAGTTACTTCGTTACATTATAAATAGGTAGTTTATCGTTTATTGGTAGCAATAATAATTTGATTATTTCAGGAACCCCACTGGCTCTCGGTGCTAAAGAAAGTCGAATTCCGATTCTTGTTATTTTTCGCGGCGGAAGCCAAGATCATCTGGGTTATTCTAGAGGCTGCGACATCATCCTACCTTCGGGTTGGGGAAGACAATTTTTTATTGCATTGAATTATCGCTCAGCACGCGCAGCAGGCTTTCGTGATCTCTCCGCGATAACTCGATATTCTGGCAAATTTGTCTTTCCTGACGATATTCCTGATAGCATACTCGCGGCACCCCATCACAGTAAAGAAACGGATGATCTGCTCACAAAACACATAAAGTATCCCCCGAATAAACGGCCACCGTTTGCGAAATTAGGTTTATGGTTGCCGTATTCGCTTCCGTTTGGACACCTCATCGAGAAGATTGCGCCGCCGCAATGTGAGTCGCCAAGGAGCAGATTCTTTGTTCTTCGGGATCGGGTCTTACTGAAGCAGCTAGCAGAAGTATACAAGAAGCCACAGCAATTCGTTGAGCTCGTAAAAACCATGCCAGCAAATGACGTTGAGCTGGCATTAATTCCCGTCAAGGTAACCTCCCCAAAAGGTGTACCAGCACGATTTGCGAGACTCTATGGGCTTCCAGACTTTCCTGGGCCAATGCAGGAGCCTGTACACACGAATGCTTGGCGAGAACGTACGGTCACCAAAAATGACTTAACACAAGGGTTCTTAAACGCAGCTATCGATAACCTGTACCAAATCGTGGGATTTCTCGTTAGTGGAGACCGCAACTATACGGAAAAATATTCGACTGGTCTGGGATACGTTTCACTGCAAGCTCTTGTCAATGTGCTTGAAGCCCACGATAACGTGATCGCATTCAGAAATCAGCACTGCTTCAACTATCACTTAGTGCAGATGGTCATCTTGTGCTGATCTCCCAAAAACGTGAGCACTGTATCAGTTTTCGTACTCGTGTAGGTTTTTATCAGTGGTTATATACTGCGACTGATGTACATAGGTTATACAAGTATCGTTTACTGGGAGCTTACTGTCTACTTTGTATTATTGTAAAAGTAATCTAGATATTTTGCTGTAAATTTACATATGGACAACAGAATGGTGATAATGGCAATGATGACTTCTGAACTTTACCAATAGAAACTAGCCGCATTGAACAGCATTAGAACGATTTGTCTTACAATATACAGGTGAAATTAAGTCGTCGATAGACGGATTTATATGGGTGTCAATAAAAATCATGTGTTTGAGGGGTTTATCTGACCCGCTTATTTTCGAACAAAAAAGCTTAAAGGTTGTTAAATTTAAATAATCTACAGGATATACCAGCTCTATTCTAAATGATCAACGTCAATTTTTATAATCATACATCTTACTAAAAAATCCAATATTTCTGTGGAGATACATTTGAAAAATTGCTCTATCTAATGCTATTATCGTTTACGTGGCCAGCTTCTGTAGATAGTAAGAGAACCTTTTTTTAATAGCTACGATGAGTGGCACTATATTGGTATGCTGATGTCTGTTGGGTTGTTCAACATCCCACGATCTTTATATGGGGCTTATGCCTGCCTAAAGCCCTAGGCTGGAACTGGGCTCAACCGAACCGAAAGTTTGACTAAACCGTATTTGTGAGCTAATGTTCCATTTTCTTGAACCACGTGTTATCCTTTGTTCAATATGGTGTTGGCCGTCGTTTCATCACAGGTTACTAATCACCTCAATAAACTGGTTTTTAACGGTTTAACCTTTCCAAAGAAGGTGCAGCAGCATGACGTCGACTTTGCTAATTCATGTAATTTTAGGAAATGACGCAAGTGAAAGGAGGAATTAATGTAAAGAGTTATAAAAAGACCCTACAGTACCTGTGTTCGGGCCGTACCTAGATCTCGACATTGCTGTAGGGTCATTGGGATTTCTCGGGTTCTAAAAAAACAGGTTTTCTCCAACATCTCCTAATGAAGAAATAGCAAATTATTTTTAGGAAGAATTTCAGTCTGAAAACTTTCTGTATTTAGTTGACAGGTCGAATTACTAAAAATATAATTTATTAATACGTCTGCATTAATTATGTATTATTTGCTATAGGCGCTTGCACGTTGAACTGACTTAAGTTTGCATACGCAAAATAATTCATAGATTTAGACGACATCGACAGCCAAATAAATATAGCTTTTCTTTTGCTGTGACTAAAATACGACTGTTTTCATTTGCTCAAGTATACATCTGTCCTCCTTTGATGTCTCGTGTGTACAAATAGATTATAATGTGATGTAGTAATTACCTCTGCGAGCAGCACTGCTTGAAAGAATATTGTGTAAGTAAAAATTCTTAGGGTATTGCATTATAACTGTCACCAACGCGCATTTCAGCAAAATTTCATTTTAGAAAATATTTTATTAGAAATTTTTGATCTCTCGGTATCTAATTCTTTCTTCCTTCTTAATTCTTTAGAGAATTAGATATCAAGAGTAAAATTTAGCTAACATGCATATAAATGAGCCCACATAATTGATGTTTTTACTTAATCGTGTATCGTTAACACATTATTGTCGAACAAATTGAATGATTACGTCTACAGCAGGTAATTTATTCAGTAATATGACGGAACGCCGTCTGGGTTCATCCACGTGTCCATAGTAAATCGAAGCAAAGAAACCGATACTTGCCGTAGGCTTATATGCTTAGAGAGGTCGAATCGTAAATCTAAATACTATTTAGGAGTTTGCAACACCACCTACGTTTGGTGCGACCTTTTCTACATTATTAGTAAATTACCAATATTTGGGTTAAGCAGAATTGTTCAATTTTATTATAAAGGAAGCATCACGAAAAACACAATGTGTGGGTTCTTTATCCATATATATTTTATTATTATATTATTTCACAAGATTGACGTTCGCAATTCTTTAGTACAGCATGGCGCATTGATGCTAGTTGTATATATATATATGGGCTTCTTACATCAAGCATAGTTTCCTCTCGGGAAATCTTCGTCAAACTGGCTAAATTTATTCTGTAACTGTTCTGTGTGTTTTATTAAAGTCTGCGAGGTCTTTGAGGCTTTTTCGTGCCTGCAGAAGTGGCAGCTTGCTTTTCGGCGGGCTCATCATCATATTCATAGTCAGCGTCGTCCTTAGCAGGAGCAGGAGTCTGCTTTTTCCGCAGTGTACTACTGCAAAAGCGAAGCAAATATTTGAATAAACACAGGAAGGAAGTTCGATATGTGACAGATCAAAGAATTATAATCTCCAGTAAACGAAGGTCTGCTTAGTAGAAACATGACGGCTAAGTGAATTTGTTACTATGTCAAAATAGGATACTCTTAGACGAGACGTTATTGTTACCATAATCTGTGGTCTAATCTCTGTTTCGGAAGTAAGCAAAGACGGTAATTGTCATTCGCATAATATCTTCATTGTCAGTAATGAAAAAGCTACTTATTCTATAACCAAATAGATTATAAGCGGGTGTGCACTTCAGAGTGTATACACATTGAATGGACCAGATCGATCGATCTACAGCAACTAACGTTTATACACAAAAAAAGAAGTGAATATGCAAACGAAAAAAGTGTTTCAGTAAGATAAATTCAGTTCATTTGAATGTGACCATAATTATATACGAGACAAACTGTCACCTCAGTGATAGAACAGAAAATGATGATTTTTATTCATATTATGTTTTAATTGATAACGCGTTCGGTGCTAGGACTTGATCACTTACATGGCAATGTGTTTTTTTTTTACCTGAATCTGTGCGGCTTAGCACTTGTAGCTTTTGGTCGAGGAAGTGGGGCTTCCGTAGGTTTTTGTACATGTGGTTTTTCGTGTCCTAGGTCCTCAATATCTGATTAAATCAATCATAAATTCCCGTTAGGGTGAAAGAAAAGAAATAAACAGTAGTATATATATATATATATATATATATATATATATAATCTACGTAATTTTTTTTCATTTTTTAACATTTTTCAACACTTTTATTTTAGATTAATTTAAAAAAGAAATTTAGCCTAACATTAAATTGTTGCAAAAGTATTAATCATAATCAGTAAGTCTTAGCAAAGAAAAAGATGTTTCAGAGAATTTGCAAAGTGAATTAGAATACCAGTTAGTACAAAGACTCAAATCACTATAAAATAGATTGATTTTTGTAAAATAGATTGGAAGACAACTATGTATAAGCCTCAATTAGAGCTTTGCGTTTCCTGTTCACAAAATCCTATCATATGATTTTTCCAGTACAGACTGACGCTTTCAATCATATAACTTTAATCAACGAAATCGCCTCCACATTTAATCACACTTATCGTGTGATCAATGAAATTAAGTCCATCCAGAATGCAACAGTGCCATTGTCTGTACCGCAATTACTCGCTGTACAATTAGCTTGTTCGGGGATCGGCTGATATTTCTAATAGTGAATATAAACCTGGCATATAAGAACAAGGACAGATGTCTGTTGGGCCGCTGATGCATTGAGCGGTTTGTCGTTTTTCACGAATTCTATCATTCTTTTCGTATCTTTCTTCCTCGATATCACTATATCCACGCGGGCAGTAGCGGGAGGTAGATAGTCTAATCAGGATTTTTGCTCGATCACGTCATTCAGCTGACCTGTATGTACGTGGTATCAAGTGGCTATAATTAGCCGATACGCATTATAGATAATTCAAGGTGATGCCATAGGGGCTAGTCGTCGACGCCGATAGATAACAGCAAAGCCACTTGCAATCGTCAGAAAAGACGAAAAGTTTATATTTTATATGTAAAACTTTTCTTGGTGTATATATATTAATCAGAATGCTTGTTAACTTTATTATGATAAAGTTCTTGTTAATATGGATCAAGAAAATGATTAATTTTCGAAGTAAGCGAAAATAAGACGATAACAGATCTTGGAAATGGCGCAAATGAATTTTCTTTTTAAGCAAAAACAAACATTCATATTTTTAACAACTTTAGTACGTAAACAAAATATGTAGTACTGAAAAAGTATAAATAGGCAAACAAAAGAAGAATAATCGATGGGTTGCAGTAAAAACTGTCTGTTAGTGATAATTTATTAATTAATGTTTTGACTATTATAAATGGGTCTAAATAATCGTTCAGGGATTTCGTTTGACTTTCTATCGAAGTCCGCATATACCAGACGATATATGCAATATAATTTCGGATTAAATCATTTGAGTGAAACGCTTGGATGCCTTAGCTATAATCTAGCAACCAAACGTAAGCTGTATTTAATTTACGTCGGCCTTAAGCCTTTCTGCCTTTTTTTTACTACATAAAAATACTTGTTGACCTACGGGCTGTTATGACCAGTTAACCTGCAACCGTTTTTCAACAGCTTTAAATTTATGTCTGTAATTAACAAACACGCATAAATGTTGTCTAAACTAAATATAAATGATAAATCACAATGAAAGTATCTTTTCACGTACTTGCTGGATGCTTGATGAAACTGGGTAACGTAGGTTTGGGCCGAACAGCTGGGTGTGGCGAAGGGCGGTTTTTCAGACGTAACCTATGTTTAAGAAGGCCATGAGCTCCTGCGGAGTCATCGCTGTCAGCCTTGTCTGGGGAGGCCGAAGTGCTTTTAGGACCTGCACTGGCAGCCACCTTGTCATTGGCACCATCAGCTGCCGCATCTCCTCCCTGATCGTACTCTTCGTAATCGTCGTAAGCCGGATTCTCTGTTGTGGCCTTCTTTCCAGAGACTTTTTGCCGTTGAGCACTGGCGGGCTCAGCCACGAGAGTGACACCGAGCAACAGGAGGCAACAGCATGCGCTTAGAGTGGAGGTCCGCTGTGCATTATAAAATAGAATTAGCCATTGCTAAAAGATATTTTTGATGTTCATGTTTAGTTCAAAAATTTTAGAACTATTGGTTCCGATGGTTGGCGGCCTTTCCAAGACGAGGCGAAAAGCGTTTACGCCCAGTCTACGAACCTGAGTATCTCATCTGTCCCTATGTTTAATAGACAAATAGCTTGCCACTGCATCAACACGCGCACGAGATATTACTAGCAATCTGTCATCTCCCTCTCATTGAAAAGTACCCCAATAATGCCTGTAACACGGGAAAGACGAATTCATGATCTTATCTACTCGTACTAATAACCCAGAATACTGGATATTGGTGGTTGGAAGGACTCGAACCAGAACCTCTGATGATTTTTTTCTGAAGAATTGCAACTACATAATATTGCGGATGTCAGTGCAGTACGAGATCGGAAAAGAGAGGCTTAAGTACCATACATGCGCATTTTCACTATGAAGACTACATGCAATTTTCATTAATAAATTAATTTGCAATACACCAATCTTCTATTATAAAAAGTGAGTCTTTACCACAATATATCGAAACAACAACAGCCGCAGCAGGCCACCAATGTAACGCGCCCCTTATATGGTCACAAACGATTCATTGATCTTTTCTTTAAAATCGTCTCTTCTGAAAGTTGTTACCTTATGGAAGCGGCACTTCTTTTATCTGTGCCACTGCTGTATAACGTCAGCAGTAATAATAGCGTGTAGATTGGTTGGCTGCGTGCCAGTTGCAACTAACATTTGCCTGCCAGATTCTTACCGGACACTACCGTTAGAAACTAGATATTCAATTTGGTCAATATGATAATACTATAACGCAGCTATAATTGTCGATGATGATTATATTGATCCTGCTGCTTCTGCCGTTGGTGATCGCGCCAATGTTGTTAATGATGTTACGCGGCCATTTTTCTTCTTGTAACTACCACTATTACCGCTTGCCTATTAGCAACGGTTGTAATTTCTCGAATAGCAAATACCAGAGGCGGTAGCGCCGTGAAATTGCTTTTCCGATGACTTCGGATCGGTCAGGGTGATCCGGTCTTTTACGGTTTTTATACACTGGATTGTGTCTGCTGGGCGCTGTGGTAGGTACCGAACATTCTACTCGGATGATCTGTAACTGCTAGCGTTTTGTTGACGCCTGTTGCCTTGCTATCGAGTCAACGCAGAAGACCTTGACTGTTAGTTCTGCGAGTAAACGCTAGGCGCACACAGTACAAGTAGCAAATGATCACACGTTGTATTGACAGGTGATTGCTAGCTGGTACGAATTGTGCGACATTTGGCAAGTGGGGGACTAATAATAAGAGGTGGCGCCGTCGTCGACGTGGAGCCAATCAAAGGGCCGAATACTGTAGCCTATTGACCCCCCTCCGCTTGTTCATTCCTACGGTTTTGTCGACCCCACGTGAATGTCTACATCGGCTGCGGCGCCGCATTCGCCGCAGCAGATTGCGGCTATAGTGGTTTTAGAAGTCAGATAGAGCAATAAGAGGTTATGAACGACAATTTATTATTAGCACACACCATCATTAATATCATCTGCTCGCTGAACATCATAGCGGCAACACTGGTAACTCACAAAGGTGCATCTGTTTGCAGACGCCGAAGTGCGCAGAAACACTAATAGCAACAGTTGTGTTATTAGTGATGGTAGTGTCGTGTCGTGCAAGCGCCATAATACCAAGTCAAAACCGTAAAAGTTTCTTGGCGTCGATTTATGGGAGAGAACTCAGGCTAAAGTGGCTGGCAATAGTCAAATAACTATTCCACTTTTGATATGTGATAGACATTTGGAAATAAATATGACTTCCCGCGAGTATCCGAACGATACGGAACTGAAAACCATTGAGTGCCATTTAGGGCGATGGATATTTACAACAAGTCTTTCTCTCCCTCTCTTTCTGTCTCTGTTTCTTTCTTTCGTAGTCGCAAGCTAAATTAGAACGAAAAGGACTAATTAGAGTACAATCACTAAAAGATGTACGAAACTTTAGAGCATGCAGATCGAGTGTTGGTACGTTGAACAGAATTGAATAACTTTTTAATGACCTAAAAAGAGGGTTTGGGTTATTGCCAAGAGCGGTTTAGGAAACTGATGAGTTAATTTCTGAAGTACATCATTTAATCGTTACTTGCGGCATTAATCAACCGTTGCTTTCGTGGATCTCCACTGATGACCTCTTTGCGTAACGATAGCAAGTGAGTTCTGATCTTGCTTTTACTGCTGAATGCTTTCGACATAAGCTCCTCTTAGATTTTATTTGACCTAAGCCTTGTTTTAGGTTTGTAAAAATAACCTTAGCTGATATTTTCTCAAAGAACAAGCGACCTCCGTCTTTCATATGACGACCTTTGCCGCTTGCCTTAAGACTTTTAAATTGAACTTATGCTCGGCTCACACACTTGAAGCTTTGATAATGCTTACGCACACCTTCAAACGTATTCGTCTTTTTGTTAATACATACGGTAACAAGGAAGGTGAAATCCAGGAAATGCGATCTGTGAATTGGATAATGTAGACAATGCAATAAATTTTCGCTTGACATCTAGCTAGCATTCATTTAGCCCAATATACCCGGGTAACGTTGGAAAAACTGTCTGTCCTTTTTGGGGAGAATTTTTGCTTGTTCAGAACAGCATTGCTGATTCAAAGAAGATTTAAATCAGGAATTGTAAATATGCCGTATCGTGATTGCAATTTATGTCATACTTGCAATGAATTCTCTGTGAAACTTAACCTTGCTACTTTTACAGAATCGTTGCTTGAGGTCATAAGGTTGATTTAGGTTGGCATGTCTACATATGGAAAACGAATCACTTATCACCGAAAATGTTCCATGGTGGCTCAATATATACAGGCCAACTACCATTCAGGATACATGTCTGCACGTGATTTTTGTAGCTGGCTACATTATTACAAAATTTCACGATTTTTTACAAGCGAGGCGATCGGCTAGATCATTTTTTTTTAACTAAAATATATACAAATCCATAATCGCTATCTAAAGCCTGAACAGTACCTTAATGGCGAGCAATAAGGCAGAGCAAAATTACTTCTTGCCACAAATTTATCTGAGTCGTTGAATTGCGCAAAGTTAGGTATCCGTTAAATTCGGCTGTAGTCTCCCTCGAGCCTTTTCCCGATTCTTAACATGCGAAATCAGCAAATTTGTAATAACACTGTCTCTAAAAACAAAGTTACTAGGAAATGGTATTAGTTACATACATTAGATATAATAATTATGACTGATAATAGCTGTAGTATACGAAAAACAGTCGCAGTAATTGATGGAAATGGTGAGTATCTGCATTCAGCGTACGCGTGAAATTACAAGAAAGCTGATTTGGTGAATACACTCGACTGCCTGATTTAGGGTCACTTCCTGATGCTGCTACCCTTTCCCGGGCCGTAAAATCACTGGATGGAAATTATACGACCAAAACTTGCATGTGTACCGTGCTGCGCCTACAGCATTTGGACGCCAATAGGGATTTACGGAAAGGAAATACGTGCGCGTGCCTTAGCGTGGCAGGCGTGCTCAATACAGTTTCGTACTGTACGGTAAGATGTATCTTCACTATTATGATCGTATTGTTTGGATGGAAGACGGGGTTGTATCGTGTGCAATTGAACCGTTAGGTTGGTGTGTATAGGTGCCTCGTACGTCATTATTGTCTAGACGTTTTCATATTGACGTTAAAGCTATTGTTGCAGTATCTTAGTGGCTAGCCCTTCCTCAAACCCCATTTACACAACAGTGATATACCCATGAAATCGTTCGCAACTCCATATGCATTAACTGAATTGAGCTCGATTCATATCATCTTCTACCATAATCACAATAAACAACAATTATCCACGTCACTCTTCTATAAAAGCAATGCATTTATAACAAAGTTCTAGGAACTAGCATTATGAGAGCTATAACTACTTAAAGTTAAATCCTACATACCTAATTTCTGAACAAGCTAAAGACAAAGGAAAACGAATGGTGTCTTTGAAACATTTGTTATTCGTTTCCTTAATTTTATATGTTTTACAGAGTGGAACAGGTAACTTGGATCTTGGAGCATGGGTGGTTGGTCATAATGCGTGACACAAATCAAGTAACCATCTAACAGTACTCAACAAGACGTTTTTAAGAACACTTACATTTTCTCCACTTAATTCACTATATCATGAACTTACCATATTGCCGCGCTCCAACAGATAATGACAGATGACAACAGTTACTTTTGACAAAATGCCAGATTTCCACCGATCGACAATACTGATAATAAGGATGGTGAGATAAGCGTAGCGACGAAGGGTCGTTTGTGTCCACCACTTCACCGCTGAAAAATCGTAAATTTTTCCCTCTCTCAAATCCTCTTTGTTTTCCGCAGATGACTAGACTCCACACACTATAGCTCGACTGAGACGAACTAACTGCACAACTGCTAAGTGTCAGGATAGAAGCAAATTTACAGTTGCCGCTGTGTTGTCTAGTAGTTAGCACCACTGACGACGATACGTCCGCCCGCGAACTAGTCTACCGTAACAGTCTGCGGTAGACCGAAGGGTTTTGAACGACCGAACGACTGAAAAGACCAGCTAAGAACATCAGCAGCAGCAACAACGATCGGCTCAGCAGCAAAATTCTTTGCGTTGAAATCACGTCAAAACGGCTCCGCTAAGTCGATAGCGCAAGGCGGGAACGCGCTGTAACGGCACCGACGGTTCTGGGCCCTCCGGCGGGGAACGCGCCGGCGAAAAACGCTAACGTTTTATCGTCCGCGCAACTCAACCCAGAGGGAGAGGGTCAGCGACGTCAACCGCTGATGCTATCAAAATACGATGGACTGTTGCCCTTGCAACTCCAACGCATGGCATTTACCCCCGGCCTGCTTCGGTAAGGGGTTCGGAAAATCCGCCAAGGGAAAATGGACAGATGGCAGATGGTGGAAATGAGGCGCAAATTAAGTGGTCAGCTTCCCATGGCCACATGGGACGACTTTTACCATTGCAGTAAATGGGGGTGTAATGGTTTGTTGGTATAATGTTCTGGCAAAAAAGGAGAAACATTTATACAAATAGTCATGTGCACCGTAAGCCTAAATGGGTAGTGCAATAGCGTTTGTTTTTATAGGAGTAATGTGGGGTAGATAAAAATACTGTTTTCTGATATTACCGTAAATGTAGAAAGCTATTGCAGTCATATAATAATGAATTGTCATAGTAACTATTGTAGTTTGATTTGCTAGATGGAATAATGGTTTTTAAATAAGTTTATGTAAAAGTGTCTGATTGATCCGAGGAGTGATTTAGAGAGATAATTTCAAATAGGATAGCGGTTCTTAATTATGAAATTCATATGAAACCAGTTTAACTGAAAAAAGGTTGTGTTTTGCTGTTGCTGTTTGTTAAAAAAACTTCTAACTTCAGGTGTAAAAGCTGGATTTTATATTGGACATTTTTGTGAATCATCAGCATAAATCCGACTTTTGTCAAAAATTTAAAAAATATTACCAAGAACAATCAAAAACATCGGCAGACTGGTGCATTGTTGCTTTCTTGTAATTGATCGTCAAGCTAAACTTTCTCGCCCAATTGAACGTTTTTCTGAAAGTTTAAGGATAATTGTTTCGAAAGTTGCTTGTTATTAAATGTAATGAGCCAAGAGTTACAACTCGTTCTAATGGACATCCAGTAGATGGCTTACACGTTTCCAATAACGGGATTCCAATAACAGGACCCAATCACTTAGCGCACTGCCCGACCCATTTATGACTCAGTGTTCGGAGACATTCTGCGCGTGAACACCTTTCAAAAATCCGTACTTGAAATCTTCCAATAATTTTTGCTTGAAGGTAGAGAAAACAACGAGCCTGCAGCACATGGGAAATCAAGGAAGAACAATTTTTTCCAGTTAGCTGTTGTGTCCTTCGTTAGATGAGAAATTTCTACATTTTATACAATAATACGTGAACATCGATGTTTTCAAAAATCAGTTGTTGAGCAGCTGTTGTTAAATAAATTCTAATATGTATGGAGTGGAAGTAAAATCAGGATTGCGTAAGCTACGGTTAGAAATATACGGACCCGCAGCTAAGAAATGAGTATTTTTTTTTGGAACAGCTAACTATACTTCTGCTTTACACATCGGAAAATTAATTTTTCGCGTTGTGTAAATATAATTAACTTTATTCTATTATATTTGCCGGTAAACCAGTTCCTAACAGACAGAATCTGATTAGTAAGGATAATTCCTGCATCTTCTCAATTATTTCAGAAAATTCGTTGGCAGGAACTCTAAAGAAATGAAACTGTCGTAGCCAATATATCATTATAGGCGGTAACAGCAACAGAAATAATTTCGAATATCAATATGAAAAGCTTACCGATGTTATCCTTAAGTGGCCCGTAAGGATAACATTGTAATACTATTCATAGTTTCTGATTTCTTTTTGTTGGCATCACTTATATCTAAATATCTAGAGGGTGTACAAGCCCCTTAGTAGTGGCCATCATTCTCAGGGGCAATTTACCGCCATGTTTTCTATTTCGAATAGTGTAGGTATCCGTTTTGGTTACTGGCCGCGGTAAGCAGATATTTTTTTTTCAATAACCGTATTCGACCTTCTATAACTGTTAAAGCCATTGAACAATGGGCTGAAGGTAAAGATCTGTTCTTCTTGACAAAGTGCCCGTCAACCATCAGCGATTTTAGCAGAACCGGCAGATATGCAAATTCAAACAGCTTCTGTACGACGTATATAGTTTTGAAAAGTTGGTAAAAACCTTCGATTGCAGTGAGTTCTAAAGAATACTTGGTGAGATTTCGGCTAACCGCGTGCAAAACGTTAGACAAGGGTTTGATGTAGACGAAGTGCAACTATTTATGGAGCTGTTTCCTCTTGTTATGTCGAAACCATGAGCTTTGTTTGCTTAGTGCAAGACAACATGTTCATCTAGAGGTACATTAAGCTGTGCTTTTATCAAGTTCAGCGTCAGCTTGGACTGGTCCTGTTTGTCAATTAGGAGCGTAATTTTGAAAATATCGGATACAATTACATCCAAGTATCGCTTTAGCTAAGGTGAGTTGTTTTCTCGGAATTACCTATATACTTAAAGGCGGTATGGCATTACGCAAGCTGACATTCTTCATCATAGATCAGCCAAAGAGTCGAACTGAATGACAAAGCACCGCGGTGTTCCTTTGAGTCGCGTGGCCTCATAACACCGTCGTAGTACTATGATTGATTTCGCAATTGAGTTTCGTAGTCATTATAGCTGTCAGCTGAACATTTCTCGAAGAGAACAACTGCGCAATTTCTTGGCCTGCTCCGCGACCCAACACACGTTCATTGGCACTCAGCGAGTAAAATCGTTCGAATAGTTGTCACTAGCTCCAATCATAGGCAGAAAAGCTCATCAACTCCTCCCAGAGGAGCTGACGCCGCCCAGTATAAATATTCACGTCGTCATTCAAGTGATGCGATCTGGGCTGGCTTGTCGCAGCAGTGCCACATGTAGATGAAGTGAGCCAAGTCGTCGCGTCAACTGCCAACTTATTTTTTTCTCAAGTTTATGTCGCATCTCGTTTCTTTACTACCGTATCGGTAGACGCCGCCGTCATGGCACGCGCATCGGCGATATCAAGATCGTCGCTGTTTCTTCCACGTCGCTCATGGCATATGCTTCGCCGTTGAGTAGCCCGCTACTGCTGTTGGTGGACAGGACGCTGCGAAATTCCGCGTTAAAAGAAGAGGAACAAAACGATAACGATAATTATGCCGCTCGAAAGTTGCCCACAGTATGGTTTCTAGTTCCATTATCACGTCGTCTTTTAGTTGGCGCTTATCTCAAGCATTGCCGCATGGGTTTGCGAGGCCTGGTTTACTACACTCTTTCTTCTATTAATGTTTCGTAAGGCCCAATGCTTCTGTATGAGCGCACGTCTTCCATGCGGCGGAGTTGGATAGGGTTGAACCCTGTTTGTCAACAGGCAGCGCACGCAATTGAATAACAATGCGAAGCCAGACATCGATTGAATGCGTCCACCATTATACGAATATACATTTACGCCGCATTGAAAATTCAAAATATAACATGGTGCAACGTAACGCGCTGGAGACACGCGGCTTTCGAATGGCGATGACATAGGTTGAAGCTTGGAAAGCGTATGGCGCTGATGTCGACTGTCGACCCTACCATATCTATGTATGTATATATGTGTAAATATATATATAATAGTTAAATAATCAGCGCTAGTCGATAGCGTTGGGAGTCGCGCGCCCACCTCTGATTGAACCGGATTCGTAGTTAGTACTAACTATATAATAAAGGCGATTGTTTTGCGGTTTTTGCAAATCGGATTTGCAAAGTTAGCAGCGCAATCGACCTTAATACGATTCAATCGACATTGCATTGCCACCGGGAAGAAATTGCTATGGCAAGAAAAACTAGTACAAAATATTGCTGAATATAACAATAACATAGCTCGTGTGTTGGTTTATCGTCTCAAAACATCCAGCTGATTAGTCCGTATCTACTGTCTGGATCAGAAAAGCGTGTTAGTTAAATAGCAGGTATTGCCTCGTCCCCGAACTGTTCGTTCCTGGAATAAGATTACGTTGCACAGTTTTGTTATTTTATTCTAAAGTCGCATAGTTTCTATAATACTGAAATGTTGAAATACACATTGCGCATCCAGAAACTTTATGCATCTTGTCCCTTCACAAGATTTATATTTAAATGGATCAGATGTTATGTTTCTCGCTCGCCGCGTAGATAGAATACTGCTTCATTAGCGCTGCGAATTGCGCTACGAAATGAAGAACTCGATGAAGGAACAAGAATACCGTGAGCACTATTGAAGGGTGACAATAGAATTCTTTACTTTTAATTCTTTTTAATTAATTCTTTGCGTCGAGTAACGGTCTGTGTCACCATTAGCGTAACAAGCAACGAATATGCGCACATTCGTTGCTTGCGCATTCATCTAAACCTAATTTCGATTGAGAAATAAAGCCAACATTCTGTTGGTTATTTTTGTTTCTTTTTTCTTTCCTTCTTTCTTTCGACATTCAGTCAAACGTGGAGTTAGACTTTATTTGAAAAGTACAACCGAGACACTAGGTCGCTCACTACAGGTATATTCAATTTAATTCGTATGCAATCACTTGCTATCATAAGCTTGCGGGGTAGCAGGCACGTCACGTTGCAGGGCTTCTGTTTTTATGGAAGCCATTATAGCCCTGCGCATTACACATTGAATTAGCGGGGTGCTTCGGCGGATTTTGATCTACGCCTTTTCTGTCGGAAATCGTTGGGGCTTACTTCGGCAAAAGCTCTAATAAGCTCCTCCAGATCTGGGAGTAGCGACTCGATTGAGGTTTGCTTGCGTGCGTTTTCGGTGAAACTGTAATAACAAAACACCGTTTTTTATTAAATGAACTGTTTCGTCCACGTGTCCCTTAGCCTGGTGGAGGATATTACATGACTTTAGGTAGATACCATACCAGCAATAGGATGTTTTTTGTGAACTACTTGCCAGAAAGGTGATGTGCGGTGCTGCAAAACAATGATTACTATCATTAACAGCCCAAAATGTTCTAGCGTACTTGTCGACTGCGTTCGAAAAGCAGAGCCGTAGAAAAGCTGTAGGTGGCAATGCAGAAGCGCAGCTGCCGTAAAAAGGATCAAAATAATAGAATAGGTAGAAGGACCTACCATGTAACGCACGTCGGCTAGCAAGCGGTTCGTATCTTTGTTGTTATGCTCACGCTTCAACGTAAATTATCATATCAGTTACATGTTTACCTGAGTACAAGGGTAGTAAGACGGTTCAGAGTCTGAATTCGTTGCTTTATTACGCTATTTTCTCTGGCCAAAAGTTTAATGACCTCGTCACCGATCTCAGTAAGCCGCTCAACTGTCATGACTTTTTTTCGCTCAGAGCCATCACTCGACTGCAAGCTGGCCGAAGTGTCCTAAATCACATAGTCATAATAAATTACGAGCGTCTGTAAAGCCTTCATTAAAAAAACCCTTAACAATCATAAACAACATTTCTCTAATGAACACTCATAGGGTTGTCCGACAGATTCATAGAGCCAAGCAAACAAACTAAATAATTTCCTTCGGCAACTTTGACAGACCGTGAGAAAAACGTGCTCTTTGAAAAAGAACAAAATTTACTGGCGGAATATCTTCATTGCCGATAAATCATCGAACAAATTTTATTGTACCTAGAATTGCCCACACAACTTTCACTTTGCTACCCGTGGAATCGAAACTCCTCAAAGGGACAAGCCAGAGTCATCAACGGTTATCTCTAGCGGCATATCGGTTTGTCCTAACACATCAGTTCCGATAACCAGCTGTAATAGCTAATGATGTTCGAGAATTTTATTTATTCGGGAATAAATAAAATGAGGTATTCGATTGAATTGCAGAAAAACAATCAAAAACAGGATCTTACTAAATAGAAAGGCCAACATATTTTGTGCTTACCGAACTCGATGATGAAGCTTCTGGAGGTTTGGACTTTTTCGCTTCACCTTTTTTATCAGTGATATCCAACGCTCCGGCTGCCTTCTGAGCCGACACACTGACTGACGCCTTTGGTTCCAAATCTGGTTTTGGTGCCTCTGTTGCTGCATTTCCCTTAGTGGGCGATGCCACCGTGGGCGCGCGTTCATTCACCTCCCCATCTGGCTTAAGCAACGCCTCTGATATTTTCAGGTGCTTTTGTACCGATCTTTGACCTTTGTTGCTTGGTTGATCTGGTTGTTTAGCTTCCGGCATTGCCAAGCTCCACTGCAAAAAGACCCGCACTGAACAACTGGCTGCCCTTGTCTGGAGACTTTTTGCTTCACGGCGTGGCAGCAGGTGCGGAATTCAAAAGAGTACGGACTAGATCTCGGAACTTCGAGATCCCGGACGTAAAGACGTTCAGTTTTCGTCAGCTATAGAAGTTCGACTTAACTGCAGTAGTTACAGCTGGATACTGAAAAAATATGCATCTCGTTGAAACGCATATACTTCTCAGGTCAATCAATTGACACATCATTTTCTCTACTAGTTGCAGATTTTTTACTACTTCTACTTAAGTCGAGTACTTACGTAATTGTACACGTGGCTAAATAAAAAATCCTGCTTTGTACAGGTCGACAAGTAGCGTTAAATGTTGTCGATCAGCAATGTATTACCCATCACAACACATCGTGGCCAAGCTTACGCCAGGTCACGATCAAACGGTAGTATGAATCTTGTTGCTTAAAATCAGCAGGAAAAAACAGCTGCAAGTCTGATCAAGTGGGCGTCTATTCTCATAAGTATCAATGCGCTCCTTTTTTAGGTCAACCACTAATAGATCACCGGTACGTAGCAGGCATCATCCCTCCATGCATGTGACGTGCGTTTGATTCAATTTTTTCTGTACAAAGAACAACATCGCTTACCCGTAAGAGTTTACATGAATACAATGGGTAGGCATATATTTAGCAGTGTTAGAAAGGTCCGGACAAAATACCTAGCGGATGATTTGTATAGGTGTGCGATTTATATATGCGCTGATAGACGCTAGAAATCATTAGTGCCATGTCACGACGACCCAGTTAAAGGTACATATATATTGCCTTCCTACGTAGAAACAGCTGTTGGTTCTTATTTTATTGACAATTGCCACTCAACGAGTTTATTAAATCCCAAATAACTTTTCTATCATAAAATGTTTATGTCGACACACGTAAGACGATCGAACAAGCATCGGCGTTCATGGCCACATTAGATTGTAATGCAAATCAATGTAAGTAACATAATCGGTATAATAAATATACTGAGTTATCTTATTACGTACCTCTAACTAACTGTAAACTTCGTGAATAGTCCTGAAGTCCAATAAAAACGTAAATTTCGTTATCGGTATAGTATAGATGGGCATTTCATTTGAGGACGATTTTCGTTAGCCTCAGCCATAACGTTTGTCTGATAACATAAAAATATTTTGATACAAGAATTCGTTACCGACCAATTCGTGCTGCTTATACAAAGGCTACATATTGGTATATAGTGCAAATTCAGCCATAAATAGAATATATGTGATGAGATAAACGCACGCAAAAACTTTGGTTAGCTTATGTAAGCGCCATAAATCCCATATGGACCCACGATAAAAATGGACAAAGGCGTTCGAATTACGCACCAGCTCTTCTATCTATTTTTTCACACAAAGATAGCATATGCTTTTATAGCTACGTGTATTTAATGGGTAAGTCTGTGTAGAAATTTTCGTTGTGATTCGTGTAACGTATGCTGTGTAATTCCAAAAGCGCGCATCTTAGGGCAAGGAATGATAGGGAAATTGATCAAGTAGAACTAAATATGCCTTAACAGTATTGCTTAGAAGCAAACGTCCTCTGTATGCTCGTGATCTTGCCCCTTAAGATAATAAACATGATTTCATGCGCAAAATCAATGAGTTATAAATTATTAGGTGTCATGGACGTATGTGTACCCCGTCTTTTCTTATCGTCTGCTCTTGCCTTCAAAATTTTACCTTGACCATATATCGATTTGATTGCTTTCAGCGAGAACGATAAACGTTGACATCATCAATATGCCTATTTTTAACACAATTGACGGAAATGTAGAGTTAAATTTCAGTTAAACAACTTTCGTTTGTAGTTCATTTAATATAAAGATATCGCACGACTGTTCTGTTTTCTTTTATTATAGCTTTTCATAACCTATTCGGCGCCTGAGAATTCAAGCTTACAATTAGATACTGATTATTTTATGATCAAAGTATTTCTCGGAGGTGATGCTTTACACAGGATGAATGGTGAAGCCGTGGTCCCCAGCATTTTATCCGATCAGCTCGTGGAGCGTCGGGGGCGCACACGGTATTATCAACTGCGGACGGTACCATGTATGTGAGATCTCAGGTCTTAGAAAAGAGTATTAAGACGTTCGGATCGTATGTGCATGCTTCGAACTTGCGTTAGCTTTGGAAATACGCGGCAAATTGCCGCACTTACATAGAGTAGTTTCGCGGTTTTCGAACGAACACAACCGTTACCCTATGGTCTAGATCGTAACATCGATTTTGCAGTAAAGAAGACTGAAGAAATGATTAATATCTAAATATTGTTTCTTTAGAATCAGTTGATAATTAGTCAAATCGTCAAGTACATCTGACCTAGCTAAATGCATAGTATACATTTGATGCAAGGTATTTTTATAGATATAATGATGCGTTGATGAATAAAGAAAGGGGCTTCATTCGTCAATGGCCCAGACCCAGCAAATAAGTCCAGAAGAAAACGTAGGCCTTGAAGTGTCAGCAAAAATCGGCGTTTTGTGTGATGCAGCCTACAAAAATAGTCTTAAAGCTGTAACTGTGCATGAAGAAATTTCTATAAGGATATATCCCTTATGGTTTTATTGTGAAAACTATGAAAACAGGTATAAATGATTTTACATACGATTTATGAATTGACTATAAACAGAAGAGTCATCTAGTGCATTCATGTATTAACGAACACAGCCTGAATCTGCTTGTATACATCCTTTAAGCTATACCTAGTCAAACCTTACTCCATGCATGATAAAACATCTGCTGAACCCCTCGGCTCTAAAATACTGAAACTACTATGCATTCCTAATCTTCAATTGATATTGATATTATGAAATATTGGATTTTTCGCAGTAAATGGTTGAAATTAAGCTAATATATCTAGACATATCTAATGTTTGTATCACAAATCATATTGGTTTGTAATACAAACCTGTATATTTATTCTTTATTTCTAAATTTTCTGAGGGGATTTACAAACAAACGGCGTGGCCACCGATCGTGCAGTTGCTGAACGACTGCCTAAGACCATGTACGATACTATTTTCGAAGCCACAACTTCAGTTACGGTTCATGTAATTTCAGTTCTATGTACTAGGGAAGTCCACTGGTGGGGTTACATTGTTTAAACGTTAATTTCATCGAATACACACTAGATAACGAGAAAGCAAATACGCTAAAGCATCCAGATTGCTTCTTTAGTTTAAAGATATGTAAATGTTTATGGGCGCGCCGAACAACCTACTAAATGCGACTCTATTAAGGTGCAAATAAATTAGCGGTCTCTTTTATTTTGATTGTGCTTTCTTGGCCATTGAATGGTAATTTCCTTTAACTAAAGTTATCAGTTCAATTTGTAGATCCTTATAACGTCTTAAAGCAGCCGCTTCACGAAGGTTTCGAGGCATATAATAGAAGCATTTTCTTTCCGTGATGAATTTGCGCTTTGTACGCTTATGATGTTCAGCGCTCGGGATTGTATCGGAAGATACATTCGTCGCCTCCACAGATACCATAGTATCGAAAATTGTACGGTGCGGTATCACGTCTATTTATTAAGTTCGCGAAAAGCTTACTTTTTTGTTTGCTGTATCTTTCCTGTGACGCTCACACCGTGTGAAACTCCTCAACGAGTCGCTCCTAACTAATAACGAAGCTCCAATGTAGTGTAAACGAAGCTAAAGTCTTTAACACTGAATTGTAAGTAAGGATTTCCTCAAGCAAAACACTCAGGCAAATTCAGGCAAAGCACTCTTTAAAAATTCAATTTATAAGAAAATTTAATTGAATTAGTGCATTCTGTTGCTTGAGTAATTCCAGTTTTTATTTCAAAAGTTGATAGCGTACAGAGCTTTCAGTAACTGTTTTGGAACTCGATTTAATTACTTATATTTTTGACCAGAATATACAAATGACACACAACTCAGTTAACTAAAAAGCCAAAAAGCGATCTTTGAGCAAAAAGTAGGTAAAACTTCTAAACTATTATTAGGACTGTTATTAGAAAATCTAAGGTCTAGATTTGGCCACTTATTTGCCCACGTAACCTAAATATTATAAAATCTATTATTCAGATGTGTTCTAACACTCGGCAACAACTTCTAACCTCATCCCAAGATAATGCTACGTAATTGTACAGAATTCTACTATTAAAAGCGCTTTTAGTCGGTAACTTTTTGGTGGTAGTCCTATTAACTCGAGTGGCAAGACCCACGCACCTAAGGAAATGACCTCTAAACGTCCCTAACAGCGTCCCCTGCAAACCTCAAAACAACATATGCCTACGATCCTCACTGCCCGGTAATGAAGGAACAAGAAGTTAGTAGATTGTGTAAATTGATCGAGATGTCAGGGGGGCACAATCAAATTTGGTTCAAATGAAAAACGTTGCGACGAATTTTGGTACTACGTACCCTGGTAGCACTACTCGGTAAACTTCATTTAAAGATTGTGAGATTCACTTATGATATTACATGTGTAATGCATATTACGAATATACTGCCTTAGAATACTTTTGTTTTTCCCTAACGTAACGCATTAGGAAATAAGGTAAGGCCTGGAGAAAGAAAATTAGAAATTTCCGCACGTATGAAAGATTTTTAGAAGTTTTGCACTTGTTCCCATTTTCATTGTGCATCCAGGTTTAGTATGTCTTGAAGCAATGAACACGCAAGACTTTTTCTATCATAAAGCGAAAGACTGAAAAATGGTGCTAAGAGATCCTATTGTGTAAACGGGAAAATTTTAATTAGGGACGATTAATTTCGTCTATGGATGCAGGATGCTCGACGATGTACTTCCAATAGTGTAATAGTCTAACTACTTTTCGCAGTAGCTAATTTTATCAAATTTCCATTTCGAAAAAGCTTTATTCGTTGGCTGTAGACGTTTGGTTACTGTTATGAGCTTGGCTACTCCAACTCTGGCAAATGAACAGAGTTCTGTTTTCCTTTTAAATAAAAAGGAAGTTTACCTCCTTATTTACTCTTCCCCTGCAAAACAATGAAGAATATTCGCTACTTTAATTTCGCTTTATTGTAAATTCGATTTGATAATAAAAAAAACGAAGAAGTTAAGAACGATAACGCGGTTTCACAAATTTATACGAGTGAGTGATAATTATATTTACAACTACAATATATATACAAGTTACTCTTGGTCGATTTTTGGTTTGCACAGTGGCGGGCGATTTATTTCTTCCAGGCCGCTTTTTTTTGCGTTTTAGCATCCTCCATGATAAATGGTGTTAACTGATTTATTCGTACAAACCAGCCAACGGCTGTTGTCACATTTCCTCAAAGAATCATTTTTAGATTAATAAATACAATTAAGCCTGAGGAGATGACAGAGTATCGATACGTAATTGTCGAGCCTGTTGCCGCACTAATTTCAGCAGACGACATCAACGCGTTCTTGGGCTTGAAGCTGTGGAGACGAATTCGAATGCAATCGCGATCTACGTCGCCGGGAGAGCAGACGCAACGGTGTCCTGCCGCGTTGGGATCCGGTAGTGGGAAACACCAGCCACTTCGGCACACTTCAGGGGCAAAACAAGGTAATGTGGGTTTATGGCTTTCCGGAAATTTCGCGACATGTAAGACTGACATCGCTCTTGGTCTTGTGGGCTGAAAGGTGATGATGTTGTCTGGACGAGCCGCCTGCTTTGGTTCTTGGCTAAACGTATACCCACTTCGATGCAAACTGACTAGTCCGCTAGCATCGACCCGGAAACTTGCGAATAAGCGGTCCTCGAATGGTTCGAGACGGGCGAACGGTGCCTCAGTTTTGAGCACAGCACTCTGCTGGCCCTCGTAGTCGAAGCTGTATAATACCCGCTCGTGAATATAGTAGATGATGCGAATATTCGGGTCAAGGGCCATGGCTTCTCCACCCTGCACATTCTCATATAACACAGTTGCTAATGCGCGAAAGATTAGCTCCGGTGTAGAGGTGCCGTCAAGATGCACTCGACGTACGTTGCCCTGCTCGCTGTAGAACAGATAGCGCTCGACAGGGTCGACGGCGATGCTTGTAACGCTTCCCCGATGCGGCATGATCGTAGCTCCACGTCCGAAGAAGTTCACAAGTGTGATTGTGTCGCCGGTCAGTATATAAATCCTCTTGTTCTCCCAGTCGACGGCTAACCGACGTATCGACGTTGATAATGCCTGGTTTAGCTGTTTATCGTGCTCGTCGAGGTCGACAATGAGTGATCGGACATCCGTTGCCACTCGGTACTCCCAGACTTGGTGGCGATGAGCGAAAAAGACGATGTCCTTATATGCGACAATGTCAACGATAGCCTGATCGACTCTGAAAGGTAGATAAACAAAATAATGGGCCAGGATTAAATAAATATATATATATATAGTCATGTGAGCAGTGACAGATAGGTGGAACGAATTTTCTTTTGGGTACCAAAGAGTGTTATATTAAATACTTATGGTAGTACTATTGGGTTACAAATAAATTTAGTTCGAAGTACTGATACGCAGTTATTGTATGCTTTGTTACAAACGATAGTTACAGCTTTCGTATCAGAGTACTGTGTCTTTCTTGTATCACTTAACTATTTCAATTAGATCAAGTCTCCTTGGGCCTTTCGAGGTGTTATCGATCATCAATCAAGTAAATTTTAGACATTCAAAAATACCTACGGGTTGCAAAGGCACTATATATTTGGAAATAGTACAGCAGATACGAAATTATACGAATAGTGCCAAGTAAATGTGATTCGTAAACTTCTATGGGCACACGATCCATAGCTTTTCTAATCAACCTAACCTTGTTCTTCTCTTATCTCGATAACTAAAACAATGCATAACGAGCTAGCTCATAATGGATGAGAAAACGCCACTAATAGCCCTGTTGGGAACATTTATCAAAAACTTACTTTACAGTTCTGATAAGCACGCGGCTTCGCATATCGTAAATTGCAATCGACTGATTTTCCGCTATGGCAATCAGCGGTTCGCCTCCTATGGCGCGACACACATTATCTGCGAACTCGCCATTTTCCAATCCCAGTTTCGCATCTGGGGAATCATTTGGCATTGTATGAGGAGCATGGTTAGATGGACACGCGCACTGGAAGAAGCCAACGGTATTGACGCAATACGACGCATGGCACGGGTTATCGATCTCGCACTCATTTAGATCAGTACATAAAAAAAGTCGCCGGAGTACTTGACGTCGTTCTGGACCGTCTCGTGATCCAGATGTTCTGTTGACCGCGTCGAAATACCGACGATCAAGCATATGCGCCACGTAACCCTTCGGGCATTGCACGCACGTATAGCCGCCGTCAAAGTTGAGACAGGAACCCTGATTTGCGCAGACGTCGTTGCTGTTTGCGCACTCGTCGATGTCTTCACATTGATCTTTGACAAATTGCTTTCCCTTGGGACATGGATTGCAATTGGACATCGCCAGTTCTAGATTCTTCTCACACTTGTACCCTTTGCCTTTTTTTTTGACGCACTCGGCGTCGTTAGAGCAAAAACAGAGCGACTCGTCTAAATTGTCCGCACAATCTTGATGTCCGTCGCATACGAGCGCCTTGCTAATGCATGTTTTGTTAGATTCGCACAAGAACAAGTCATCATTTGTTTCTAGAAAACTGCATTTGTCTTCTTCGAAATTGACCACCACCTTGTTGTCGCCATCCTCCTGAGACCTTCCTGAAGATGTTAAGAGTGCTACAAACAATATGGAAGCTAGAACCGCAAGGCTATCCGCCGACCGTTGTCGCATGACGCTCGAAACATACGGAGTTTGCGGCCCCGTTTGAATCCACAATGAAACTGGTCGATTCTCTGAAATTTCTGCGTCTCGAAGCACAATGTCGATAGCTGCTTTCAATTCCAATGCTATGAACCGTATTCGTAGATCCCGAAGTATCCCTATATCTGTTATATGTTTGCGCGAGATTATCACCTGCAAACGAAACGACTGACAATCAATGCGGCAAGGTCACTCAAGATACTCCATTCTACATATTCCGCAATGGACCACCCACCACTGATCGAGATGGAGCGAGACGCGACGCTTACCGCAGATAGGGTGTCATCACCAAATCATCGAGGCAGTCAGGATGACAGAGAGAAAAAGTGAAAGAAGAAAAAGAAAAAGCACAGGGAGTGACAGAAAGGTCATGACCGCAATAGTCAATTCGGAAAGACTGTTCCCGATGCAGAGCATCGTCGTCATCTACTGGTAATCTGTGTATTTGTTTGCGTGCTTATACTTGCCATCTGATCTGGGGCGTCTCTAAGCCGGTTGCCGGAGCTCAGTTATTGGCGGTGTCGCAGTCTGAGGCCAGATCGGTCTGAGTGAGGAGGTCTGATTGCGATTAAACCAGTAGCCGTTGTAAGCAAACTGTGCCATTGTCAGTACAGAGACCACGTCAATTTAACAACGGATATACATCTGTATGTATTGCTTGCACGGACAAGAGTAATGGTAGCAGCGGGATTGACGGACGACTAAAATATGGCGTACTGAAATATTTAGCTTTGATATGCTTCTCATAGGAGGTAGACAATTGCATCCTGTTCCACACGAAGAGGGCAATACAGGAGTATACGTACGCACTATGCTCATGTAAGATGTCGACTCGATAAGAGCTCAAACCATAAATAGGCTTTTTTTAAATTTTTTTAGCATAGTTAGCTATTTCTACAGTGTAAACAAGTTTTTGGAATCACCTCTAAGATATTGCACCAAGGTTTAAGGTTTAGGAGGTTTAGAAAGATTAAGATAGGTTCTGCTAACTTTATCTGAAATTTGTTCAACATACTTGTGAAACGGTATAGTAACTAAATGCCATATTAATAATTTGCCAACGCTGGAATTTGAACGGGCTGTGGCCGCGGGCTCATGGTTACTATGGCAATACACTTGAAAAAACGCGCCGCCTACACAGACCACGTCGCCCATCCATAAAGGGGGTCAAAGATATGGTAGCGATGGGCAGGCCTCACCTAGGTTGAAGACTACTGACCATTAAAAAGAGAGGCCTATGAAATTTAAAAAAAAATGGGTTCTACTCTATATATATATATATATGACACGTGGCATAAACGTTTCAGTTCAAAGGTGGGCGGTGAACAGACCATACGATTTAGAATCAATTTGGGACTTCAGCTTGGTCGTATGAAGGAACCCTTGCTCCACAATTGTAATTAGATCAGACTGAACCAAGTTCATTCTTTTGTCGTTTGACATACAAAGCGTCATATTAAATTATTTTTATCTATAAAATAAATTTACTTTGACAATTGTAGATAACACTCAGAGTTGAATCATATATCTTTTGTAGATACCTTATTCATAGAATACCACTAAATGTCTCGTCCACTCTACGCCGTCGAATGTTATGCAACCGAGACGGTCACACGCAGGAACTTAATGCAATTGAAAATATGTTTATGACTATACAATAATCTGCTTCGTGCGTCTAACAAAAAAGTACCAGCCTGTTCGTCAATATGGATATGCTGGTTTTAGCGTACTGCCTGGAAGAACATATGCAAAATGTGAGTAACTCTAATATAATAAGGAATTAGCACTGAACGGTGAGTGTTATGGAACAGGAGAAGCTGACTTAGTGTTTGCTGAGCCCCAGTTCATCTGAGGGTAACCATTGTGCGAGTAGCCAGTATATATACTTTAATAGTTAGTTATTTCTCTATAGCCTGACCTTTGTTACGTTATGTCTCTTGTTCCAAGTTGATTGGTTACGTCCAAGTTGATTGGTTAAAGGATCACCGTGGCATCTGTTTTCGTATTCATATAATTCAATGCTTTAAATGTCTTTGGCTATCTGGGGCCTGCAGTTCTAGCGGTTAAAATGAATTTCTCTTCATACCACTATCAGTTAATGACACAAATAACTTCTAGGCGGTGTGCCGTCATGATATTTGTTTCATGTTGGGCGCTCAGTATAGCTGTGCATTTTCCTATCTCTGTTTTTCTTGATGTTTTCTTTGCATTTTCTCCTGATTTAAATAAGTTATAATTCAATATCATTCACATCACAATATATCTCTAGTTAACTTACTGTGCTGCTCTTGCCCATGGCACAGATAAAGCTAGATTGGCTTCATACGGCTTTTTACATTCGTTTGATTATCAACTAGCTAAATGTTGCTATTTTGGCCCCCTGCTAACAAAAGCCCGGCAAGTCTTTCCCTTTTGTATGATCCGCGTTACTCTTGATGGGGTCTTATCGTACAATAGGTGCCATCTGTAGCATGTTTTCTTCTATTCTACATTCACGCTATACACGGGCTTCATTGCTATTGAACAAACCTCTAAGTGAAGCTAATCTGGACATTTAATAGAGAAATTACAGAAATTTACGCTGTCAGTACTGTCGACCTCCTCTTATATAGCTAACCTATGTAGCTATTTGATAAATAGATTGGCAATTCAGCTAGATATCATGGCCACCTTCGCTGTTCACACGCACTTAGTGGAATCACATAGTACTCCGAGCGACAGACATTGCTTGAAAAGCTTTATATTAGGCCCAGCAAACTGTTTGTTAAATCGACCTTGAATCGATCAATTCCTTATTACTCTGAAATTCTAAACGACCGCACCCCATTATGTTTTTCGTCTTTAAAATAAAATAGAAAAACGGGCATTTGAATTAATAAATTCAGTTTCGTTAATCCGCTCAGCTTTGGTGAATTCCCCACTTTGGAGATTATTCTGTTACTTTTCGTGCGTCTGTGTAGCATAATTGGGCTTACAATCCGCACCAACTAATGGAGACGTCCGTTTCGCCGGTCCACGTAATCCTAACAAAAGCAATCCTACAGAGGCATCAACAAACGTGTGACTTTGAACTTAACGGCTTAAACGGCCCGTAACCACGGCGTTTAGTTATAGTTATTTATTTGACTAATATGATACTGATTGTTTCCAAATAAATTGATAACGTTTTACTCGGTTGCCAACGGCCATAAATGCCGCGACCACAGTCCAATAATTCGTCAGCCTTCGAATAATGGCATCTTCAACACTCGTCATGGTCAAGCAAAGTGTGTCCCAAGCTATATTACACCGAAACACCAGTTTCGTAGCTATCCAAGTTGGTAAACAAATGAGTTTAGGCTGTATACATCGCGGTTGGCTACCGATTTTTAGCGGTTACGGTACAGGTGTCTCATATCCATAGTTTGCCATTACCAAAGGTCGACCACAATCCGTTGTCGTGCCCAGGACAACGCACTGCGGATGCCGCACCGACATATATATAATTTACCCATATTTATGTTTGAATGGAGCGCGCACTGGTTTCGCATGAGGCAGAGATCCTGGAGACAGATTCAAGCTTTACTCTAACGCTTCCGTGAACAACTGACCGACTACAGGGCGTCAGTTGAAGCGGGGCTTCTAATTTGCAAAGTCTGCTACCACTTCGGAGATGCAGCTTAGAGGCATTCAACGATGAGAAAACGCAAGAAGACACCACGTATTTTGACTAGTTGATGGCGCCTCAGGCACGATACTACAAGACGAATGAATGCGTATTGATCCGTTGCACCTTCTGTGGTGGGTAGCCAATAGGCTACCGACGGATCCGCCCGGACAACGTCAAGTATCTCCTTGTTCCGCTGACCATGAAACAAATACACTATATCATCGTTACATAGAGGTCTCGCGAATATGTGGGTGTAAACACACAAAGATTCTCCTATATAGAATGCTTCATAGTTTATGAAACCTCTGCTATATTGCTAGAGAAGCGGTAGGAAGCGACACACCGATGCTAATACACGAATAATTTTCGTTCCGCAAAAAAGTGTTATTCAATATACATTGACGAACGTTACCATGATATCGACACTTTACTTAGATACAAGTAGGTCGATTCGCTCAGTATCTGTGACCACAAATGACACTTCTGAAGTGCAACTGTTGTCGTCTTTGGGGGGTTACTATTTAAACCACTTCAGACTGCCATAATTGCAAAAGCATGACAATAATACATCGTACATGTTCAGTGGTGCCTTTCCTGCTCGCAGCCTTTCCCCCTACCATGTACAGTAAATAGGTGGCGTTAGTGACGATTCCTGACCATCGTTGTTGCAGACCGATCGGTTTAGTGCTGATGCCACTGCCAGATGCATTGTCGCGTGTCAATCCCATAAACACACCTTTCTTTCAAGAGCAAAATGTATTGTTATTGCTTTAAGTCCAAATATATATTCATTCTTCTACCGAAACGGAGCATCAAACAACGCCCACTTCGATTCATTTTGACACAATGGACCCATAAGTCATAACAAGTCGCGAACAGGCCCCCCTAGATAGCGTTTACTATACATCTTCGCTGAAACAATCTAATTAACATGTCGACGCATTACCATCGGGCCATAGAAAAGAGTATGCTCAAATCTAAAAAAATCTTTTCTTGTTTTGAACAGACTGGCCTCTGAGCTGGTACTTTCGCTATTTATGACTCATGACCATTACGAAGACCAATTTGTATCCGATTTCGAATTTACGCTCCTTGCAGCGTATGCGCCGTAGCAAAGAGTCGATATTCTAGATTGTCTAAAGCTCAAACGCCGCCAACTCGCCTCTAACGTATATGATTGATCTTCTTTATACGTAATTGTTACTGTCAGGTGAAATTCGGGTCGACAGGTGGACGATCAACAATCTTTTCAAAATAACGTTGCGGTAATCTGCAAAAATATACTCGACAATGATATGCTGACAGTTGGTGTCTACGTGTGTGTGAACGAATATTATATATTTGGAAAAAAAAAGGTCCGGCCCAACAAAGTCTTTGCCATCACAGTTCTTCCGATTTGGCATTAAAGTCAACTATATTTTGTATGCGTGTTCGTTTCGGTTGATCGGGGGGACAGAAATATGGTCAAGAGCTGGTAGTTTTCCGTGACTGTTCCCACATACGGTAATCTATACACATAGTATGAAAATATTGACATTTAATATAGAATCAGTGCGTGTTTGATCGGTCATAGACACATGCTTGTTTTTCACAGCTCTTCTTCCTTGTTAAAAACGTTGTATTTATTGGTTAAAACAGCATCGTTTCGTTTAAGAAAAAAAAAAAAAAAAAAAAACTATTTGGACTGTTGTTGGCAGCTTTCTATATGTTTTTCCATGTGCACCCGTCCTTTCTCACGTCAGACAAATTGAACACCAAAAAGCTAAATAGACGTTTCGAGCTACGTCAGCATTTCATCAAAGACGTCATATAGCCTAATATCATACAACATTGCATACCTCATCTTGAAGCAGTATGCTTTCTTAGCTCTACAAACAATACTCTGAACGAAACAACTGTGAATTCAATTTTACTAGTGTCCAGAGACCTGATTGTACCTCTTTGCACCTCAAAGTATCGCCATAAATCGTCATAAACATTCTTACGCAACACACTTCTATACCAGACGGTTAAGTTTTATCGAGCAGTATATTTTGCCCGTTATTTATTTAGCTCCCTCTTACTTAACGGCCCACTACATTTTATTGGCGCTTCAATAAATGAAGTTACTGTATCGTTGAGTCACTGGCGCCCGATTTCTTCTCGTGTCGATAACGAACCACAACAACTACTACAAACACACGTTTTGAACACAATAATTTACCTAATTAATCCTAGTTGCCTTACGTCTTTATCGCAGGCAGATAGAGTCCCGCTTATAATTACTCTTTTTATAGTTACCTCTTTCGCGGCGTCGTCGTCCTCATGCGAGCGAATCTTGTGGGATGACCGACTCTTCGACGGACAAACGTACACTTGGGTAAGGCACCGAAAAGTGGCACATGCTCATACTTCCTAACACGCTTCCCTGAACCAAGTGTGCTATGGGACCAATATTGAATAATAGCAATTGGGTCGAAGAACAATAGCACGTCTAACTAACGTCGCCGGCAGCGTCGCCATATTCATTGCCCAGTTATCATTCCATCAGGTTTTTTTTTCGCCATTTGAAACATAATAGTAATAGTACGATGTAAAAATATCTTTTGTTGTTAGCTGATGTTGCAGTCGCGAAATCTCGTCTGATTCAGCCTGCATGGCCTCGAGAACACCAGATACCCTCTTCACCCTTCGGTGTTCTACCACAATAGGAAAAATAGCACAAAATGATAATGTTATGCTTTGAAAAGATAAACACTAAACGTAACTTTTTTCTAGTCATACGTAGCATAAAGAGAAAAAAGGACGATTAGTAAAGGGTTTAAAGCAACCCGTCAGTGCAAACGGCCAGTACGCGTTGTTTGTATTTATCTTGTCGAAGCTGCTCGCAACCGACTCTTGACTAGTAAACCTATCTCTGCTTGTGAACACACAGACTGTGTACAAAAGAGCTAGGAGAAGCACGAGCATCCTTGCATGAATTTGCAGTCCCCCATGTATACAATCGTTTTGGTCGTACCGTCAGGCTCAAACTCAGTCACAGATTCTTCCGAATCCACGAATGATTAATTATTCAATTACGTCTCGAGATCGATACGTATCGACACCAGTATTGATTTATATTATAGTTATAGGATAGGTGGAAATTCTATTATTTCGTTTGATCTCGTCGTGCCGCTTTTGTAGCAGATTCTATTTATAATAACTCAGTATTATTAGGCATGATTCCCACAATACCGGGCAGCCATAATAATCCAAAGTGACGATTGCTGCGTAAACATTTTCAGCAGTTTACTATGAGAAATTATGTCAAAGAAAGTTATTTAGGAAACACGTTCTTATAGGCGTGTGACCATCACTTATCTGCTGCTTAAATTTATCGCTGTTGAGTGCCCCAATTAACGGTCATTTAGAATTTTATTTTGTTTCTTTGAAAAATACGGTTCGCATAGGACTGCAGGCCACCAGGACAACACTTACCTCCTGTGGGAGTCAATCTATACAATTGGACCTATTCTAGCCGAAACCAATACTCACTGATTTTCAATTTCTTTCTTATACCTTACTTAAAACTAAACCTGGCCTTTTTTTAATAATACTACGGATTGACAAGAGGTGTGCCACCACATCGACGAGTCAGGGTCATCGTAGTCGAGGTCCCCGCGCTCCAGAAGAGCATAGTCCCTGGGGAAGAAAGTTGGAGCCCCTCCATCTTGCGTGCGAATCCGACATGCTAAGATCATCTTTTTTTTTCTTGGGATTCTATTTAGCCTGACCTTCGAAAGCCTGCTCTTTTCTGCAAGAAGGTCTCCGGCAAATCCGTTCCTGCTGCGCTAGCACCCTCAAGGTGGGCATATGTGGTGCACAAACTTCCTTACTCCCCCAGTGTTACGGCTTTTTACCTCTGCGTTAGAGAAGCTTGTGCCAATACCTCGCCTTAGACCATAATCTGAAACGCGTCATCCTCTACCCTGTTGGTATTTCTAGTAAGTATATGCCAAAGGCGCCTTTTCTGACCGATTCAGATAATGTTTAAACTACCCGTGTCTTGTAAGCTTTTGATAAGAAAGGGCGATAAAGTGGGTCAGTAGCACACGATTAATAATAACAGGCCCATAAGCGATATTTGAGCATATATTTGTAATTAACTATAATTATCCATCTGTGGACGTAGTGAAAAATTTCAAATGAACAATCTTTTACTTGATAAGGTGTCCATAATGGTAGATAAGCCAAATTGTGCAGGCCAGTCTTTGTCATCTAATACAGAAACTTTCCACCCTCACCTTTATCAACATTCTAACGCTATATATGCGATATGACTATTCTCGTTTTTCGTTGCCTCCTTTCTGACTTATGTGACGGTAGCTCAAAAGTACATACATCTTAGCGAAAGTCAAGCCTCGACGTGCATCGGGCCGACTCTGCAAGCAGTGCCTTCTCTGAGCAAATCTGTTAACTACAATTTAAAGGCGACAGTCAACGGTCTCCTAATTCCATGCATGGTAACAAAGCAGTGCTTTCCATGCTGCATCTAATCTTTGACCTGTATGTGATAATGCGACTCTTCTCGAGCGGGTGGCGTATTATCACGGGACAGTATGACCAGCCAAAACTATTATTTGTTTTTGTCGAATTTACTATACTATAACGTATGTATGCATGCGTGCATCTAGTCCGCTACAGTCGCCTAAAGGCAGCTATAGTACTAATGAAATGATGTCAATAGCATCAATAGGGCAGGCTTGCTTTGGGTGGCGTCGACTATTTGCTTCGTTAGATAATGACCGACGACGATTTAAGGTGACTTTTGGCTAGGCATCGTAATAACACGGTTACGACCATAGTTAGGCCCGCATCTGTTGGTACTACGTTCGACCGATTTGTCGTTACTCCTCGTATTCCGATGGAAAGCCGAGGCCACTGATCTGTTGCTTAGCCCGGGCAAACTAAACTTCATAGGGCACTGTCAAGGCTATGGTCATTAGCTGTAAATTATCATCAGATTGCAAGAGACCATGAGCTTGTCACAGGATGTGGTCTGTAATCAGAGAGTGTTGCCTTCCGTCGAATCTACAATAGGCTTCATTAGGCAAAACCGCTGTTATGGTAAAATGCGTGAAGACTATAA